GCTTTACATTTCCAGCTTTACATTTCCAGGGCCACCTGAGGGAGGCAACTTTCATAGCCTGAGAATGGAACTGCACACTGTTGACATTCGACTTCTCAGGTCTCTTCAAAAGCTAGAGCTTTCATGGGGAGGAAAAAAAAAATCTTACCTCTAATTTGGAGCATTTACTATATTTTATCATCATTTATAAATGAAATAGGAGAAGAAAACTGAATACCTACTGTATCAGTTGTATTTTAATAAATATGTGGAGTTCATTTCTTAGGCCATCTTCCCCTTACCTGAGGCTGCTTCAAAAATCTGGAGTTGGGGTTAGGCTCAACCTTATACTTTTAAGGCTTGAAGGATAATATGAGACATGACTCACTGGGCTAGAGGAAAAAGTTGGCAAACTTGCAAACCATGCCTTTATATGAGTCATAGTTCCATTTGCTCATATTATTTGGTTCTAACCAATTGTTTTTCCAGCTTTCTTAAAAAATCCAACTTAAGATGTAATTCAGATTTCAGCTATAGCTGTTTTAAAGAAAAAATATTCTGAAAACTTGGAATGATAACTCTGCTTGCTTAGTTTTTCACAAGACTATTCACTGCAGGGATCCACTAACTAGATTTTTGGATCTCAAATGCTTGTAAATGTTAGTTTTAGCAGCTACATATTTCAGCTTGGTCAGATTAGAATCAAAGCCTGACGTCCTCATTAGATTTGACATTTTATGATAATTCTCAGCTTTGACAAAACATTCTATCAACAGAATATGCCAGTGAAGATCCCTAGCCAGGCCTGCCTGAAGCGGTGGGAGACCAAAAATCACCTGAAGTTCATCTCCAGGAAATATTTAACGGAACAAAATAATTGACGACCTGCTTATCCAGGAGGTTCCAGGCTGTAAGAGATGACCCTGCACCTGTGAACACCTTGTCTCAGATCTAGGGCCCCACTATCTGGAAGGAGCCAAAGGGTGGATCATTTCAGTGTGATCATCCACATACTGATGTTAGCAGAGGAGATCTTGTATGAAGTAGGAATGCTCTATACTAATGAAGAAAAGTCCTCTAAACCTTAAGTACTAGGCTTCAACTACCAAGTCTAAAAATGCCTCTGGGGAACTTTTCAGACTGGAAAACATCAAGTTTTATTAAAATAAATTATGTGCCCCAATCCTAAAATCTTCTTCCTGAGCAAATAACTTCCACTTTTAAAGCTACACATAGGATGCAAATCTACAGGGGTAAGTGTCCAGAATCAAGCTTGTTACACTATGTACACACTATACACTGTGATATGCTTAATATAAAATTACCAGTTGTGCTTTATTTGCAATTTAAGAAGGGAAAACTTTGATTTTCTTTCCTTCTTTTTAAGTGGTAGTTCTGAAGCCTTGACCAGGCTAATTTTGTAGAAATTGAGGCTATCCTCCAAATATGTCTTCCTATGCAGGATATTTTTTTACAAAAGGGAGTATTCATTAGTTCTCTCATTACAAGGCATAGTTTTGAGCAGATACATCACCTCCTGAGATAAACTGTCATGAGAGAAAAGATGTATGACAGAAATACTTTTTATAACTACTAAAAGTATAGTAACAAAATTCATAATTGAATCAACTATTTTTTAAATGAAAATGTTCTACTATCTGCTCTTACCTGCTTTCTCCTAATTCTCACCAGTCATTTATTTGGGAATTGAACTGTTCAGTATCAGGTGAGAAAACAATATAAAAGCCAGAAAGTTAGCTCTTTATATCATTGGTGATATATGAAATTTAATGAAAATCACCATTTCATTAAAAAAATCATTAAACAAGTATGTCATTTGACAATTCGCTGAACTAGAAAATACTTACTCAGGCCTCCAAATGAAAGTCTTACAGGGAATCAGTTCACAAACATCAAAACCACTGGCCTTTCCAACTATTTTCACCCTAAATCAACCTTCCCTTATCTCAGTGTCCTCCAGACTTCAACTCCCAGAATTCTCAGCAATGATCCTGGTAACTGGGATTCACAAAAAGAAATCTCAAGGGAATCCAGATTGAGGAAGATTATCATAAATCATGGGTAACAGTGTGTTACATTTCTGAACTTTCTCTGTTCTAGATAACTGCTGTAAGGCATATGCCTGCTATATATCTTGTAGGGGTGTGGGGGTGTTTTTAAGAATAAAACATCTACTTTTCTACAACAATTGCAGTTTGTATTTTGCTGTTCTAAAAATGAGAGCACAATTCTTCCTCTTCTTAAGATATAAAACATACTACAAGTCAATACAGTTTATTGGAAAGGGAAAATAATATGACATAGAGAATAGTTAAATTAGACCTTGCCACATTTTTATAATGAATTCATTTTCTATGAGTTGTCAAAAGTAAAAAAAAATAGAATATGGTCTAAAGAGATTGAATTTGGCCTTTGTTACATTACATTATCACGTCCTTAAATTAACAAAGAACTCTCCAGAAAACAGTAAAAGATACTTTCTCTTCTCTATCCTTTTAAAATAAGAAAAATACACATAACAGTTTGAGTGCTCACTTCTTCCAAATGAAGAGCAGGAGTTGCTATGCATTGCAATTCCTGTAAACAATCATCTACTCTAATAGAACAAGAGGCATGAAAATCCCAACCTTGGTCTAAACTCTGGGTTTCGCACAGGTAAGAGAACAGCCATTGATTTCCTAGTGTAAGTTTTGTATATCAGAAAGCTCTGAATGTTCCTGGTTCCTGTAAGTGTAAATTCCAAAAGTTTACAGATTCAAAACATACACAGGTTGTAGGGTTAGAGTTAAGTTTCACAGAGGAAGGCAGCTCGACCTCAAACTCTATCAAGGAAGTTCTTAGTCTTCTATTATTTCCCATTCAGTTTTAAGGAGAATCAGAGTGTGGAATTATATAACTCAAAGGCCGCAGTCAGTTCTTGATGTCTCCATTCTGACAGTTCTGCCATCAGTCTCTTCCGAGTCTCCGCACGAAAGTAAGAAGCAGAAGTTGTTTATAGAGCTGCTCTTCCTTTAGAAGCAAGGAAAGGAATTAATCTCACTGATCAAATGTTCTTCAGCTGTTAGCTTTGTCCTCACACAGTTCCATACGTATACAACAGTTTGCGAGCCATTTGACTATTTCCACTGCTTTGATAGATGAGCGACAAATTGAAAGCAATATCTTTTTGTAAGTCTGTCTGGTCAGCTTCTATTCCCTAGTTTAGAAGGGGAAAATCTATTTTAGCAATTCACAAAACCCCTTTTTCCCAGAATCCAAATCTATATATGTAAATATATAATTATTATAATTGTATACTAATATATAATGTTATTAAAAAAAATTTAAAAGGAAAATTAAAAACTAATGCAAACTACTCTAAAGTAAGGAAAAGAAAAGAAAAGAAAGAAATCAAAGAGAAAACTAAAAGTGCAAGAAAGGAAAAAAATTAAAAGAAAAACAGAAAAGAAAGAAAAAAGATGCCAAGAAGTGGCTTCTGATCTTCTTTACAGCAGTTATAAGTACAATTATAAATTTACCTCTTACTCTATGGTTACAACATGTCTCTCTTCTTTCTATAATCTATCCTGCCTGATCATCAAAGCCATAAATCATAAGTTCATTTTTTTCTGTTTTATGCAAAAAATCCATAAGGGGTTTCCAGTCAGCAATAAATGTAGATATTTTCTTTCCCAGAATCCAAATCTTAAGAGTAGTTTAATTTTGTAAAACAAAACAAAAATCCTGCATACTGGAATGTAATATGGCAATTACATTTTCAGGAATATTTCTTCTAAAATAAACATAATAATTAGGGGAAAATCTTTTACCTAAGCAGATTGCAAAATTGACTGTATTCTGTTTCACTTTTTCAGAAGTTTCAAATGGCATGTGACTAAGCTTGGAACAGCAGTAAAATATGATTGTTTTAGTTATGATTTTCTTAAATTCCAGAGCAGGTTTGGAATAATAAATGCTCTGGGATAAGACAGAGAAGGTAAAACAGGTTCCCTCCAAACGTTTTGGAGAAATGGTCATCAGCACTATCAAAAAGCAATAAATGTTTAGACGTGAAAGGGAAGGAAACTGGCATTAGACATAAATGGCACAGATTGAAACTGCTAGATGAAGATGGGGGATCCAACACAACTGGAAGGAGCAGCTTGTCAAATGCTGATCTGTTATTCTTGCTTTTCATCAAAAAGCTCATCAGACAGTGGACATTCATGTTACAAAATATTTATGGCTTTTAATTCTCACATGTTTAAATTGATACACCTTTGCACAACCATCCTAAGATGCCAAGGTAGGTATGCCTATTCTGTCTATTGCTGGTCATGAAAATGGAATTGGAAAGGGGGGATATAGAAACATGCGAGCCTATAGTATAGAGGACGGCACTTTGTAAGAATGTTCAAGTGTCTTAACACTCAAATCCTAATGAAATGCTGTTCCATACAATACCTCTAGCACCAATGGAGGTAGTTCCAGAGCCTTTTTGTAATAGTGAATGGCAAGATGTACTAATCCCAGTTGATGAAGGGCACGTCCTAAGTTGTAAAAAGATTCTTGACAAGAACCACGAAGGCTCAGGTACCGCTGCAGGAATGAAAACCCCTAAATATAAAAGGAAAAGTCCGCTAATACAAAAATAAAAAATTACAAGTAACAATTGAGACATCAGAAGTGATATTGTCAGACTTAAATTCGCATATGGCCACCATTAAATGCAGTAAAATATCTTACTTCAATATTATTATTTATTAATTGTGTATGCCGCCCAACTCCAACAACCCTGGCTCACAAACAAAAACATTTTTTTAAAAATACAGTAAGAAATAAAAATGAAGAAAATAGCAAAGGTGACAGAAACTGGACAGGAATGGAAAAAAGAAATAGATCCATACAATCCAAGGGGGCATCACTCACCCTCACTAAAGACTTCAAGCCCTTTTGAAACATGAGAAGGGGGGGCATCCAGACCTCAAGGAGAACCTCATTCAGAGGGCAGGCAATGTGATAGAGAAGGTGCACTTCCGGGACCTGGACAGGTGGCATTAATTGAAGGAACCCAGAGCGTGCCAGCCCTGCCAGATGGAATCAACTGGGCAGATACTGTGGGAGACATTCAGTCCTTCAAGTAACTGGGCCCTATGCCATGTAGGGCTTTATACATAAAAACTAGCACTTTGAATTATTTTAACAAGGCAACAATTCCTAATTCAATACAGTTTAAGGACTGGAATGATGGACAGCATTTCAAGTTGAGCCTTAAACAATAATGGAAAGGATTCCCAGTGCCAGTTCCTTCCAGCACCATCAAGTCACATAATTACCTAGCAGAGACCAGGCTGCAATGACATAACTCTGATTTCAATCTATCTCCCTCTGGAAGCAAAAAGCAAGATAAGAAGCACCTACTTTTTCTTCTGACATAGGAAAATATAAGGCAGAAGGACCGTTAAAAATGGTAAATCTAGCTGGGTTGACTTTTTCCCTTTTCCCATGCCATTTTCTCTTTAAATCTCCGAATATTTTTGTACAAAGGTGTAAAGAGCATTTAACTATGTTGGCCCCATTATACTATGAACTGGGCTCACTCAGCTATGAGAATGAGAAGAAGGGTAATTCATCACTTTGATTTCAGCAGGGTTCTTATATCCAGATGCAAAAATTAATCATAAGATCAGTATTGGATCAAGCCAGTGTAATTATGAGAAAGAGAAAAGGGCAGAAATTATCGTGCCAAAGTAAAAAGCAGCAGAACAGGCTTATAAGAGTATTTTTAGAAACTCAGCAAAATCTCCTTTGAACTGTGTTTTAATGAACATTAAAAATTAAGACCTGGACAATTTTAGTTCAATATAGCATACAGCATTCATTATATTATCTGGAATAAACTAAAAATTTCAAATAGTGTTTTCAGATCAAATTCAGTCTTGGCAAAATAATTTAGTTTTTAGTCCCCTTGACTTGATTAGGAATGTAAGGACTCATCTACTCATACAGTATTTAAGTACTTTGCTGGGCTTACATTACATTCTAATTGAAAAAATAATCTTAGGTGGGTTAACCAACTTAAATAATGGTAATCAAATTCCACTGAGTTTCTGTTGCCATAATCAAGAGATTCATATGAAGCCTGAACATGTTTACTCAGAAGTATGAATGAAAAAGAATTTTGTTCAGTATACATGAATATATCTATTTTTGCACATATGACGCAGCAAACATTTATTTTTTGAATTATGTGCTCAAAAACAAAACAAGCAAGAATATACCCCAAAAGACATTTTGAAGTTAAGCTATTAGGAAAAAATTATTAATAAGCTAAGAAATAAGAGACAAAATTTGAATAAAACAATCTTTAATTTGAGGATGCCTTTCTTAGAAATGTTTTAAGATAGTTCCTTTCAAAGCTGTTTAGTGCCGTGTCAATTGTTTAGCCAATACTATTTCTCAGATATTTAAATATTATTAATCTCCATAATACTCTGACAGCTGAAAATGCAAATGATCTGCAAGCTCTAGTAAGAAAAGACAAGGAGCACACTGAAAAAAAAGGGGCTAAAATTAAATATAAAGAAGACCAGACTAATAACAACAACCACCCCCAACCTTAGAATTAACAATGAAGATATTGAAGTGGTAGACCGCTTCTGCCTCTTAGGCTCAACCATCAACAGTTTAGGAACAAGCAGTCAAGAAATACACTGCAGACTAGCACTAGATAGAGTAGCCATGAAGGCCTTGGAAAAAGTATTCAGGTGCCATGATGTGTCTATATATACAAAAATCAGAATCGTGCAAGCCGTAGTATTCCCTTTGACACTCTATGGAAGCGAAAGTTGGACTTTGAAGAAGCAGGATAGGAAGAGTATCGACACTTGTGAACTTAGAAGAAGACTTCTAAGAATATCTTCGACAGCCAAGAAAACAAATGGACTATCGAACAATCAACCCAGAATTCTCACTTGAGGCACAAATGACCAGGCTCAAATTATCCTACTTTGGACACGTTATGTGAAGACCCAGCTCTCTGGAAAAGGCTCTGGGAAAGGTGGAAGGAAAGAAAAGAAGAGGACAACCAGCAGCAATGGAGAAAATCTATCTATGCAGTCACTAAGAGTTGACA